TTAAGGGCCCATACTAGGGGCCCGTGGGTTCTACTTTAGAGAAATCAAGATTCACTGCCTTCAAAGTGCTATGAAGATGGCCGGAGGTACCTGCTATTGCTACGTATTCCGAATATATTCACCGTTCTGATGCGAAGCAAGCACATACCGTCAAGCAACTCCAGGGAATTAACGATTCCAAGAAGGCCGGTTTGGTGACCCAACCAGTCCACTACATAATATAGGGACCTTAATAGTTAGAATAGGGTTTTGGATAATTCTTACTGATGGCTATTCGCGTCTTGCGAGTACAAAGCTTTGCCAAAACGTCGCCAAGGCCGAGGCCCTGGCGCCTTGATTTGAACAGGGCCCCACCAATGGGTGTACGTCTGCTCCAAGAACTGCACACAGGCAGAATTCGTTCTGCAAGGCATCTATTCTAAGGCGTTGCTGCTGGCATGGAAGCAGGGTCTGACCTAGAATGAACAGATCCGTCTAAGTGAGAAGCATCAGCCGAGCACTTCGGCCAAGCTCCTGGTTGTTCATCTGGGCGTTGTTCTGAATCAAGTCCTTGGGAATATCTCACTCTGTCATGGCAGACATGCAGGACCAGTTACAGTCACAGTTATATCCATGCGATCCATATGCAACGGCAAGATGGGCTCGGGGTGGGCTGCGACCACACGGCACACCTTGGCACACCTTCTCTGAATCACTGCCCAAAGTGACGTACGTGCGCGTCTCTATGCACGGCATTTGTATATGTATGCAGTGCATGTATGTCTGTCCGTATCTGTCTGTCTGTGTATCATGGTGTGTCCCTTCCTCCCTCCCTCCCTCCCTCCCTCCCTCCCATCCATCCATCCGCCCATCCATCATGATCCATCTATCTGACAGTGTGTCCATGTGCCAATCTATCTCGCTCGCTTGCCACAGCTGCAGGTGAATGTGCATGTTTGCGATACAGGCAAATGCATTGTTGAGACTTCGTATGCAACCTAAAATGCCGCATGTCAGCGCGGTGTTTGTTTGTTCGCTCGTCGGCTTTGACTGCATCAAGCCATGTGTCAGGTACTATGCGAGTTGCCCGTGACTGCATGAAGGAAGCTACGATGACGATCCAGCCAGATTGGCAGCTACAGTACAAGCAATCCAACAGCAAAGACGAATCGACGTGCCATGCTCATAGCAGTCATGGCGCCAATATATACGGGGATAACAGCAATGCGAGTACCCGGCCTTGTTGCATTCAGGGTACTGCCTCGCCAACGAACCAGCTCTTATTCCTGGCAGTCCTTTGCCATGATGACCCTACAGCCTCCCGAGAATGGCACCTATAAATTTAGACTTTCCTGCCGTCACCCACCCTATTACTATCATTTAGCCTCGCGCATCGTTAACCTAAAAGACCATAATGCCGATGCTCCGAAGGATACGTCGCATTTGGCGGAGGGCGGGAGCCAAACTTCTTGCCGGGCACAGGCTCCTTCCAAGCTGCTACAAGGCTCAAGGGGTTCAGTTCGAAAATGCAGGGTCAAAAGGACCTACGAGTGCAGGCTATGCAGTCGCAACGATTCAATCACAAGAAAGACGGGATGTCAGGCCACTGCTAGCTTCTACCCTTCCCACATACAACGAATGCTGCAACGTCTATAGGGACATGAAACGAGGCAGAACACAGTTTGACCATAAGCGATGGTGCTTGATAGCGGCTTCGGAAGGTTTCGGCCTCCAGGCAAGGCATGTTCGGTTGGGTCGCAGTCAGTTGGTGGTCGTAAATAACCCGGAGTTCCATCCATGTAATAGAACCAAAACACAGAGCCGAATGATTCTGTATCTCAGTACGTCGGAAGTGCACAAAGCCCCTTGTTTCCGAGGTGGCATTGCGGGGCTTGACGAGGCCAGGCAAACGCTGTTGTGAAGCCGGCCTTTCTCGGCTCTGCTGGATAACACGAGGTGGTGTTGCACTTCTCGATTGGGTTGGGATGGACGACTCCGGAATGGTATTCAAAAAAATGTGGGGCAGCAGCGGCTGTGTTTGCGTAAAGATCATCTCTCCGAGGCCCTGGCATACTCCACGCCGCCCATGTAAGCCTGGGCTTGATTTTGTCAGCGCTTCCTTGTGCAACTGCAGTCGCTGCAATCCAGTCTGCAAACATATGCACGCCTTGCATCGTTTCAGACTGCTTTCGACGTCATCAGGCTGGGACTACTTTACACCGAATCTAACAATCACACTGTCGTGCCAAAGGCAAGAAGCCCATCTCTACGGGCTTAGTTTCAATCGTTGCGTGTCCTTTCAAAAGTGATGTGGCGCACCGTGGAACTGGCTCCGAGTGCAAATTTATGGATATGTTGTATATATGATTAGTATGTGTAGAAAAGCCTGGCCTTGGACGCACTCCATCGCTGCCATGCGCCTCCTGTCACCAAGGGCGACACACACAAAGCCTAGTGGCCTAGTGCTGCACATTGACCTCAGGGTTTGCATCATGCTTCTTAGACTCTTAGAAGAAGTCTGGATACCGGTTACTGGCTGTGAGAGCAGGCTCAGCATCGCTTCCTATCGATTGTAGCAGCGAAGCCAGTGGTGTTACAGTCCTGCCGGCCTCGCTCCCGCACACTTCTGCCTGTAATGCTGAGGACCCCGCTATTCTCGTGGATGTGGCCAAAGAGATGCACCTTCCAACGTCTACCGCAGACCATAGCTGTGAAAACCCATTGCCCCTTGGCATGCTCTTCCCAAGCTCCAACAATCCACCTAACATTCGAACCCAGCTGAGAAGATTCCCAATAATCCCTTTCACGGGCGAAGCCTTCGGTCGGATGGCTTCCAGATGCGAGCGCAAATCCTGCAAGTGCCAAGTGACGTTTTCGAAAACCTGCATGGATCATGGTCTTGGTCCTGTCTGCCGATTTAGCGACCACATATTCGTGCGGCCCTAGGGGCCTTCAATCTTTGCAGCAGGTTTCCTAGATGACTTGGCAAGGGCTCAGCCTCGTGGGACGTACGCATGTGTATAGAAACATGGAGCTCATGTCTTCCTCCTGTGCAAACGCACGGCAGTTATGGTGCAGCCTGGGTCTAGATATGATAGTACGTGAGCTGAGGTTGGCTTGAGGCCAACTCAGCGTGGCACGAGTTGCCTCTGCATGCATGATCTTTTCGGGAAACAGCCCCACTGGGATCCATACGCCATGCGAACGACCCCACACACACACACACGCACACCAAAAGAAAAGAGCTTCAGTCCCGTCTTTTATGGAGACACCCTCTTGACAGAAATCATATGGGCGGAAACCCCGCAGCCTTGCTGGACCCCCACTGGCCGTACAGAGTCTGGTCGAAGATGTCCCAGGGCCTTAAGGGGGACGAAAAGGGAGTTCCGGCGTTTCACGGAGGCGATTCCAACTTCGATTCTTTCAAAACTTGCCCGAGAACTGACGGTGCAGAGCTGAATCGAACAAAAAAAAGTGATTTTCCGATACCCTCTCCAACAGGCTGGCTTGTCAGCTCTTCGGGCACAGGTCGGGCTTTGGAAACCTGCAAGTTTCCCTAGGCTCCCTGCGCCATGTGGCTCATCAGGATGTCTACACCTGCCCGTTCCCGGAGGAGTGGCCTCTACAGAGCATCCTTCTCAGCAAGCTTTGCTCCCGGCCTTCGGGGATCTCGGCGTATCGATGCCTCAGCACCAGCGGAAAGGCACATTGATCCAGCCCTGATCTATGTCGACATCGTCTAAGGAGAGGGCACTCGGTCTATGCTGATGGCACTGCTGTGACATGGATTGAGTATGATTGAGAACAATGCCGTGAACAACCCATACCTGGATTTACTCGAAAGTTGACCCTCCCTGAAGTGCATGGTAATACTTCTCCAACCCCAGTCCCACACACGACATGCAAGCATCAGCGACATAAAACGCCCTGCGTCCTCAAAAGCTCCCCCGCCTTTCGTTTTGCATCATCGTAAGCAAGGTGCCACAAGCGGACATGCCCCGGCACACGACCTTGATCAGCTCCCATCTGTTGCGTGTGTCGGAAGGATAAGACCCAATTTAAGCCATCTCCAACTGGAGCACAGCAAACCAAGAAGTCTTTCAACAGAGGGTATCTCGCGATTGTCGCGCGAACAGGCCGTGCACCGGGGAAAGACTGTACTCGATGTCCGTAACATGCTGAAGTCATATGGGTGCAGGATCAGTTGAATTACAAACCGCAGGAGACTTGCACATTGGTCATTCTTGCCCCTTAAAGCCTTATGATGCGGGCAGCAGGTGAGCTGCGGGCACGACCGCTACCCAGGCATCCTTGTTTGGCTTTGTGCTCGTTCCACAAGGTTCCGAATCCGGGGGCGTCCTCACTGCAGACATCTCGGTAGTGATAGCCGTGCCACTGTTCATGACGACTCCAATGGCTAGCTGCCTTCCGCTGAGGGTTAATGTCGCTGGCTTGCCCTTGTTGCGGTCGGCACCGAATGTTGTCCATAAAAGACGCTTGTCGAGAGCTTCAGAGAACACGACCAGGCTGGCATCGCTGCCGGCATAACCGCCGACAATCTGTCCGGCAAAGGTCATGGTTTCCCTGTCCGCGAGGCAGCAGGCAGAGGTGCCGGTGAGATAGACAACTGCATTACGAGCGTCATGTACTAGACCACCATCGCGGGTGCGGAAGGTATTCAAGCGATTCTTGGACTGCAGAATTGGTGCTACGAAGGTACCGGTCTCCACCTCACCATCACTGCTTCGAATGCGTGCAACGTAGCCAATGTGTGCAGCCGACTTCGCCATCCACATCGGTGTTCCTGTGTCGCGCGCAGTCTTCGTCACAAGATCACGTCCGTTGTAGCGGAAGATGGTATTTCCTCCCGCCGACTCTCCAGCAGCGTAAACATAAACTTCGTCCTCAGAGATAGCAAGGTTGTAGATCCGGGTATCTGCCATGTTGCGCGCAGCATCCAATTCTGCAGCAGTGAATTGTCCCCAAGTCTGAGTCAAGCGTGTCTGCAGGTCTTTGCTGTAGATCTCCACACGTGCAATCTGCACCGGGTTGCTCGCCCAGTTGTTGGTGAAGGCCCCAAGAACCACACGGCCATCGCTAAAGAGCTCCACAGAGGTAGTGGCATCATATCCAAAGCGGCGATGTGCCAAAAGGGAGCCGCTTTCCGTGACGACTGCTACCGTGCCGTTCTCGGTTAAAGCAGCCACGCGGCCGCCACGAGCGGGTGAAAGCCCCTTCACATGCTGCAGGGCTGATAACTCCCAGACTTTCACGCCTGATGCACTGAAGCGTTGCAAACCCACACTGCTACCGACCAACACATGCCCACTTTCAAGGACTTGACATGCGCTTGGTGCCGTGGATAGCTCAACGGCGCGCCGAAGCGCGCCGCTTTGACTGTCCAGCCAGGCAACTGCATGATGGGGAGTCGCTGAAGGGAAGCTGCCACATGTCAGCACCTCACCAGACTCCTCCAGCGCTGCCACTCCAGCAATGTTATCATCAACGCACTCCCCGGAGAGCGGATGGTAGCTTGCCATCACCGTGGGCTCGTGTGCCTGCACCTCAAAGCGCAAGCAAAGGGAGCGAGAGACCACAGCAGTCGCCATGATGGGGCGTGTCCATACTTCACAGCGGCGTCCTCCACCGTACTCCAGTCCGTAGCAAACAGGAGCAGCTGCACAAAGAGCCTTGCAGCCCGCCAAGTGCTGCACATCATGCAGAACATAGTAATCTGCGGAGTTGTCTGTAACAGACTCACCACGGCATGCACGGTCCTCGCCACCTTCCACTGGAGACAACATGCTGACCGGCCAGCCGAAACGGAGGCATTGAAACTTGCCCCAGGCTGCAGGTGGTGTGGAAGTAGTGGCTATGCCTTCGCTTCGCATCCACACTTCGCAGCGTCCACTTGGGTTGTACTCGATGCCTTTGCAGTCAGAAGCCTGTTCCTCACAGAGGCTTTGGCAGGCTTCCAGGCTGCCGACGCCAGCAGTTACCTCGTAATAACTCTGGCTGTTGTCTGTACGAGAGTCGCCACGGCAAGCATGGCTGCCAGGTGTGCTGCTTACCGCTTCCCATACCTTAGTCCGTGCGGCTGGCAGGGCTTTTGTCATGCTCCGGCGCACTGCAAGCAGCGTTGTACCGCCGTTCGCTGAAACCGCTGCCGCAGCGCCACTTGTGGGCACCGCGGTGCAGAACTCCGGCAACACAAGCAGAAGCACAAAGCACCGCCACACGGCGACCATAACGGCTCCAGGAAAAATCATCATGGTGACCAGCATCTTGAGCCAGAATGCCTCCGACGTGTTGACTTATTCCCCCGACTCGGACCAGCCAAATGCAGGGTGCAACCACATCAACCACAAGCTGGCAGGCTTCCACTCGCACTTGGATGCCACAGTCGGTCGAGTAGAATTCGGCAAAGGATCTAGGAGTTGGTGATCAAACTAGACATGGTGCTGAACTTCGTACATCTCCTTTCAGAATCCTTGTGCATGCTCTATTGGAGCCATGAGGCCCTACTATCATGCCTTAACAAGCATAGTCTGCACAGTTCTGCTTTGCCGAGAAACGTTTGGTCTTACCTGGCCTGCTTCTCAAAACTGTTGCACTTGCAGGTCGGGAGTGGCATGATCCAACCCGACATTGAACTTTGCATCGTTACATCATAGCCTTGTAGCACAACAAGTTCATCGGAGAGACCGTGTGTCTCAGGCCCATGGTCAGTGTGGGCTGCGGGCTCCAGCTGAAACAGTGGCGACTGTGTCAAACCAACAACGATCGAAGTTGAAGATTTAAATACGGGGTAGTTAACAGTGTCCCACCGACGGCACAACAAAGAGTATGTCATGCTTCGAACAGACCTCAGAGGACTGCAGTTTGAAAAACGCCGGGGCTTTGGGCGGGCGCAACAGGCCCAGAGCTGCTGTCGCTACTTTTGCAATACTCCCGAGACCCCGAGCGACACAACTGCTCGTTGTGTGGCTGGCTCGCTCGCTATCCATCAATACCACTATCTTCGAGCGCTGCTTAATTATACAGAGTTTCTACCCCTGCAGGATGAGTAATTCTGAGATGTTTCAACGCGTTTACCCAAATTTTAACCCACCTTTCAGTTGCGCATTTCTGGGGTATTGCATTGCTTTGTTGCTCGTAGGTAGTGTCGTGCAGAAGCGGGCCATCTAGAACGAAGCCCTGTCAGAGCCATTCAACGTCGTACCACAGGTTGCCCTGAGATCATTGTAAATCCCCTTATCCGAAGGCTGGGCCGCAAGCGTCGGAACTGGATCTACGCTGCCATTTCTCAAGGCCTTTCAAGCTTGTGCAGGGACACGGCTCTCGGCTCATGGCCTGAATACGTTGCGCAATGTGAGGATGCTCAAGAAGCCGCTTCGACCGACTGCTGCTCATATGCCAGACAGCACGTCACGCTCAGGGAAAAAACTTCTGGCCAGTGCTCTTAAACCCAGTCGAATGACTGCTGTTGACCATCCAAGGTGTTCGCATGGGGGTCTTTATGCTCGATGCTTCATCATGCATACCCCATCGAAATGAAAAGTTCACCCATCTTGCCTTGCCTGCTGTTTCCAGGCAGCAAATACGCGCTGCCTTGGATTAACGGAGTCATGCGGAACACGACATGGAGTCTTGAACCTGAAACACCTTGATCGTAATTTAGGAAGCAAGCTTTCTCTTTCTTCCGACCGGCAGACCGGGCCTCAACCCGAGAAGCACTTTCACCGGGGCACACCCCACAACTTCGCACTCTCTATCTTTCCTTCACAATGGCTGCGGATGCTCTCGCTTGCTTGCTTGCTAGCTTGCTGGGCGTGCGGAGGTTCGGGCCTGCGCCGTCCCCACCTGCGCATCAGCGCGGTCCATCGAACTGAAACTATGAGAAAAGTGGGATGCTCAGTGCTGCATGCTCTTGCCGAGGGGAACTCCCCGAATCACAAACTCACAGCGACGAGTAACATCGCACTGCTCTCTCTCTCTCTCTCTCTCTGTCTGCCTCTCGCTCGGCGTTTCATACGAATAATTAACTCTCAATTCTCTCAGCCCCAACTGGCCCCAATCACTTCGGAAAGGTGCAGCATCCCTTTTCTGCGACAAGGAGCCTCGCTTGCGTCCACTCCATATTCCTGAAGCCAGGCAGCGGGAAAAGCTGTATGCGTTTGTTTTGCTTCGGTGTGATTCGCTATGCCGACACACGTGCAGCAACAGAGGTACTGCACGAGTAAACCCTCACACGTAAACCATAAGCCCAGTGGCAGACTGCTGGTGGCCCTATCTGCACGATCTGCAGATCTGCATTCTTACGAAGACTTTTTCAGTCACAAATCATACAAATCATGTAATCCTCGAAGCAAATCCTGAACGAAGCCCGATGGGCACACAATATACCACAGGATCAGGCGAACGAGTGCCCGCCCAACAGAGTTCGCTGAGAACTCCGAACGCCTAAACCATTTAGCCAGCTCACCACCAGTCTCCAGGAGCTGCATACCCGAACCATGGGCACCTGAGTGCAAGCTGCTTGCAGGAAAAGTGTCTCGCTCGAAGCTCGGTGCTGTGTTCTCTCGCAGTTAAGGCTTCCAAGCTCGCACACCTCGATAGGGCGACAACTGGGCCCCAGTCCTGAATTATTATGAAGCCAAGTTGCCGGTGGACGTATAATGTACCATTCGACCCACACAAACTTGAGGGCTAGGCCAATCTGATCCGAAAATCCTCACTCCAGCAACCTGGCACACGCGCAGTCCTCTCCTGTAGACCTGCAGTGAACTCTCTCAATGCGTTTGCGCCGTTGGCCTCCACAAGCTCGTGGTGTAGCACTCGGGCATTCGGCACTTTGTCCTGCCTCGGCGACTCGGCGCTCACCCGACTTTTTGCACTCGCACTCGACTCAGCAGGCGAGGGTTGGGGATGAGCCAAGTTTCAGAAGGCAGACTTACATCTATAAGCTATGAGCTGCAGACAGAGAGCGGCGGTGGAAGTCAAGAGCTTAATCTTGCGATGCTAAATCAGGCACGACAGAGTTTTTTGTCATCCCTTGCGCGAGCCAGACACAGAGTCACATACACACGGTCTGCTTCTCGGAGACACAGCTCTGGACCGACAAGTTTTAGAAGCCCCAAGGCTCCTAGAAAGGAATGGGCATTCGAAGATAGCTTGTCATCTGAACTGTCTGAGTGACTGCGACCTCTTGGGCACCAGCAGGTGCTTCGGATTAAGCAGCACCTTGGCGCAATAGCTGCAGCAAAATGGCCTACTTTGTACGACGAACTCTCACTCGCAGAATTGATCTTTGTCTCCAAGCACCCAACACGCATGCTTCGTCCGAAAACCACTGTAGGCATAATCACCACAACTGCTGCCGCAGCTGCTGCTGCCAGCGTTGCTCCAATCACTCACTGTACGACCACTGCTTACTACGACGACGATGACGATGTCTGCTGTCCTGCTGCGACCGCCACTGCCACTGCCGCTGCCGCCGAAACTGCTGCTACTCTGCTGCTGCTGCTGCCACTGCTCCTGCTCCTGGTACGGCTGCCGCTGCCGCTGCTGCTGCTGCTCCTCCTCCTCCTCCGTCTCCTACGACGACGGCTACGATTACCACTACGACGACAACGACTGCTGCTGCCGGTGTTGCTATTGCCACTGCTACTGCTACTGCTGCTGCTACTGCTACTGCTAGTCATGCTAATGCTGCCGCTGCTGCGACTACTACCACTACGTACTGCTACGGTGTTACTACGAACTGTTTCTAAATACCTCGTCGACGACGACTACTACTAATCCCGCGACTACAATTGTCACCGCGACTACGACTACGACCACGATTACGGCAACGACGATTAAAGCGATGACGACGACGACTGCTACTACTGCTACGACTACGACGACTACGACTACTGCGACTACTACGACTGCGGCTTCGGCTGCGACTACGACGACTAATACGACCACTACTGCTACGACGACTACTACGACGACTAATTACTAACTACTACTACTACTACTACTACTACTACTACTACTACCACCACCTACTACCACTACTACTACCACTACTACTACGACGACTACTACTACTACTACTACTACTACTACTGCCACCACCACCACTTCCACTACCACTACTACTACAACTACTACTAGCGCTGCTTCTACTACAACTACTACTACTACTACTACTACCACTGCCACCACTACCACTACCACCACTACTACAACTACTACTACTACTACTACTATTACTACGACGACTGCGACTACGACTACGACTACGACTACGACTACGACTACGACTACGACTACGACTACGACTACGACTACGACTACGACTACTGCTGCGACTACGACTACGACTACGACTACGACTAGGACTACGACTACGACTGCGACTACGACTACGACTACCACTACCACTACCACTACCACCACTGGTACTACTACTACTACTACTACCACTACTACTACTACTACTACTACTAATACTACTACTACTACTACTACTACTACCACTACTCCTGATGGCAAGCAACATGTCCTGTGGCAAGGTGTTGATCAACTCCTTGGGCGAAAGGCTGGAGTACGTAGAGCTGAGTAATTAGTAAGTCCCCAGGCAACGTGTGCGTATATTGCCATGACGATGTCAACAACCAACTGCCCAAAACGGTAAAGCTTGTCAGACCACATGTTGTATGCTGGATGATCTGCACTACAGCATCTGCTGTAATGCACTTGTGCACTTGCTTCGAGAATCTTCATCAGCCGAGCTTCGCAAATCAGTACGCTCGTACGCATGCTTTTCACTTGTACAGCGCAGTGCAGATATGTGGTTTCCTAAACGGCTGTAGAAGCAGACATCGACTTTGCGGCTACAGGTACAAAGACTGAGCCTAGTTGGTGGTACTATCCGCGATGTTCTACGAGCGCATGGCTGTACTGCATTTTATGGGTGTGTGCTCAAAGCTGCTGTTTTGCCAATGTGGTTGCAGCAATCCACTGTTCAGGTTGCTGTCACGTGCAGCCTCAGTTGTATTTTGATGCAAGACCAGGAAAGCTTACTAACCCTAAGGCTCCACGCACCTATATATATATATATATAGCATATTACTTAGGCTAGGCCTGAAAAAGTCTTGAAAAGCCTAAGCATATACAATAATTACAGGTCCCTGGAGCCTTAGCGTAACGTCAGGTGCTTCCTTGGAACCCTAAACCCTGAAAGGGTTTAGGGTTT